GAGAGAGAGAGAGAGAGAGAGAGAGAGAGAGAGAGAGAGAGAGAGAGAGAGAGAGAGAGAGAGAGAACACGAGAACGTATGTGAGAAAGAAGTGCACTTAAGTGTGTGTGATTGACATAAACATGGCACATGGAGCTGTAACTGCTAGGACCTGCCGCTATGATTTATTTTCAACTTCGTAACGATAAAAGCACCGATTTAATGGAATCGCTGATCTTTAAAAACAGGTCAATGCACCCACAGTGACTAAGAGCTGTGACGATGTAACGCAATAGATATTGCTGTCATTGCTCTGTAATTATGACTGCTCGGTCCTGCTGCTATGATCTATCCTCTTTCAATTTCGTGACGAAAAAGCACTAACCAAATAAAACTCATTGTCCTTTAAAGCATTTCTCCAGGCAGGCACTGTGAGATTGGTAGAGGGTACTCCTAGATAGTTTAACCGTATAGAGGCGCTCCTCTCATTGTAACTCCTACCGTCCTTATACTCGGTCCTGCTACTATGATCTATCCCCTTTCCATTTCGTGACGAAAAAGCACTGACCAAATAAAACCCCTTGTCCTTTAAAGCATTGGTCCAGGCAGGCACTGTGAGATTGGTAGGCTACGGTGCGTATAGGCGTGACTCATAGAACCCGACAATACATAGCAGGGCCGTCGCACAAAATAGCTGGAAGCGCGCTCAAACAAATTTTCGTTGTTTTCAATTAGTTGACATGTCTTTCCCATCACGCTGTCCTACCGTACGTACGCTTCGTACAATGATATCCGGAGAGCGTAAATAGAAAAGACATGACACACTGGGGATTTCCCCTGTAACCACACAGCTGCCTGAATCTTCCAGGTGGGAGGGAGGCATGCCCCCGGACCACTCTAGCACAGGGTGCCTTCGGCACGCCTTCACTCAAATATAAACCCAGCTCCCCCGTCTCCTGATAGCTAGATTGTTGGCATTTAAAAGCGCACAAAAAACTATAATAAAACTGAAATAACCCTAATTACCTCAATGACTACGCCCACCGCTTGCCACTCACAATGTTTACTCGGTGACGTGGCCCTCGCAAATCCCATTGGTTGATACAAATCACGTGCCTCAAATTCTGAAATGACGCCACAGTGTTGTCAATGCACATCCATAACACAAAACCCCAATGCCTCAATACCTGAACGCCTAGAGCAGAGACGACACGGCTGAAATGTCGTTGGATAGAATCCCATCTGTTTTTTCATTATTTTCCTGTTTTCTGTATTTTTCTATGTTTATCCATATTTACATGATTTGTTTACAACAATTTAATAACAACAAATAATTTTTTGGGTTTATAGAGCTAGGGTTAGGGTTAGGGTCACAATGCACCATAAAACAGGAGTTTGAGGTACGTGATTTGTATCAACAAATGGGATTTGGGAGCTATGCAGGCACAGCTGTATATTTCGCCGTCGTTGAATTTCTCTTGCGTTTCCCGTGATTGACGGAGCAGTTCTTCAGTAATTATACCCGGGCCAAACATCAGGGCATGTTTATAAACATTGACGTCATATGCGCACATGCAGAGCTTAACGCTTGGTATCAAGCAGATGCGTGATATGGTTCGATACAAGCGCACGCACGCACGCACGTGTACGTACGCACGCACGCACGCACGCACGCACGTGTACGTGCACACACACACACTCATGCACGCACGTGTACGTGCGCACGCACGCACGTCTACGTGCACATGCATGCACGCACGCACGTCTACGTGCACATGCATGCACGCACGCACGTCTACGTGCACATGCATGCACGCACGCACGCACGTGACGCGCACACACGCGAACGTACGCAGGCACGCACACACGCACGTGCACCTGCACACGCACGCACACACGCGCATACGCACGCACGTGTACGTGCACACACACGGACGCATGCACGCACGTGTAAGTTCACACGCACGCACGCACGCACATGTACGTACGTACGCACGCACGCACGCACGTGTACGTGCACACGCACGCACACACTCATGCACGCACGTATACATGCACATGCACACGCACGCACGCACGCACGCACAGCACGCACGTGTACGTACACACACACGGACGCAAGCACGCACGCACGTGTACGTGCACACGCACGCACACGCACGCACACACTCATACTCGCGCACACTCATGGGATTTGGGAGCTATGCAGACACAGCTGTATATTTCGCCATCGTTGAATTTCTCTTGCGTTTCGCGTGATTGACGGAGCAGTTCTTCAGTCATTCGCATGCAATAGCGATGTTTCATGTGTAGCGAATTCGACCCGCTGTACAACATACACTATAGCATGCGTCAGCATTACTTCAACCTTGAAGACGTACGGCTTCGTAGCCACGTGGGCTAGCAGCGGATTGGAATGGAAAGCCATGCTGCACCACTTGACCTATAGTTTAATTGGACGGGACACTTGCAGCTCACACG